CTCATCCTCCAAGTTTCGGGGGATCCTTGCTTGTGGAGGAAAGTGTTATTAAAGCGGGGACTCTGATGACTACGCCACATGACTGCATAAACCTTGTTTCCATAGGAAACCAACTACAATTCCCCCTTCTTCCTCTAAAATGGATCTGCATCTCCTATCGGGAGATGGTCTTTGGAAGAACTGCTCTGATAAACTACCTAAGGGGGACCTCAGTAATTGTTTTGTGAGCTGTTTTCCTTGTAAGAAACGACCAAAAATAGGATTATGGCCTGAGTTTATCACCTCAATTTAGCAGGCTGACTTCCTGTGAGGCCGGCAGACCGGCCGGCCATCCATGTGGGCTCTTAGCAGCTCTGTGGGCTCTGCAGAAGCTGCCAACACCTTTCAAGGTGACTCTACTCACATTCGCCCTCCCCATCCAACCTGCTCTCCTCGGCGCTCAGGATCCATATCCCCCAAGGCATCCCTTACTCTCCCGCTGAAACCAGCCAGCTAATCCCCACATAGGAGGACCCCAACCCACACACACAGTGACCCACGCCAACCTCAGCCCAACTACACTGGACATTTCCATACCTGACAGGACAGTCTGCGACGGACTCAATCTCCAGTCCCACCAGCACCGTGGAGTGTTCCCGTAATGACAGCACCTGTCCTCGGGTTCACCTCCATAGTCCCAAGACCCACCAATCACAATCCATCCACCAGAGCCTTTCAAAAGCAGCCCCCATCCGCTCGGCTGTTTTCTTATAATTGCTTCTGATTCTACTTTGCACTCCATTTCCTGGTTCCTTTGTGCCCTCCCAGAGTTGCAGGCTGTTGTGAGCTGCTGTTTCTCCACCCCCCACCGAACTCAGAGGGAGCCCATGCACAATATGCCACCCGGTGCAATACTCTCCCCGTGACTGGCCACAGAGCAGACCCTTGTGATTCCTCGTTCTCAGTGTGGATTGCCAAGCTTTTTGTCCTAGTCCATCTTCATCGGGAAGCTCTGCCAAAAGCTGTTCTAACAGGATAGCAACACGCAAGCCTCCGCTGGCAGATGGGATCAGGTGCACTGTGTGAGGTGCCCGAGCCCAGAATGTCCCGAGTGGAAGGTCAAGCATTCGACTACTACTGATCTATCAGTGGCCCTGAATGGTGAGGTCCACGGTCAGTATTGCTGCAATGCAGAGGCTAAGGTACTAGCAAGGACGACTCCCAAGGGCAAGGAACGAGGTCTTGTCTTGCAGGGTAAGGCAATGAACGTGGGGCATGAATGCTTACTCCTTCCGGCCCCACAACCATGCTCCCCTTCATGAACACCACTAAGCTCCTCCTGTGTGCCCAACTCGGTGCCAGGGACCATGTCCTTAACTGGGAGCTTACTGGGCCGAGTTCTCAATCGAAGATGATGGACTATCATGTCTTCTAATAAATACGAAAACATTTGGATGCGCCAGCCTTTAGAAAATGGAAAAATAGCTATCTTTGCCAGAAGGTTTCTTTCATTTTTTCCCCTGGCTCCTCACAGCAACATAAGCAAAGTGACAGCCCCTGGGCAGCCACCAACACAGCTACGATTCTGTTCTTGGTGCACCCTAGAGGGACAATGCATTTATAAAGGACCATCCACCCCTCTGCTTCCAGAATGGCAGAAGGCCGCAAGCTATTTCTAACACGGCCCCGAATGCTCCTGGAGATTCTTGGTAAGCCTCAAAGGCATCGGCCTCCCCGTGAGATAACATCATAGGGCGAGCAGCAGAAGCTGTAGCAGGACCTCAAGGGAGCCAGGTGGGCAGAGCTGCTGGCAGCCAGCATGCAGTGAGGGCAGGGGCCACAAACGGGCTCCAACAACGATCGGTGGGCTTCCAGAACATATCTTTGTATAGTTGGTTCTGTATCCAGCATCATTTAGAAGCCTCTCTTTCAGACCAGTGGCAAAGAGGAAGCCCTACAACACTAAGAACACTTCCCTTTGAGTTATCAGGGCCATTTACTGGAGATGTCTGACTTTCAAGTCTCTGGTGGGGCACTGGGGTACGAGCTGGGTGGCTAACCACAGGGGGGCAGTTCTAAAGCACCAGCGGCTTTGTGGGAGAAAGGTGAGATTTTCAACTCCTGTAAAGATCATGGTCTCAGAAACCCCCAGGGGAAGGTCAACCCTGTCCTATAGAGTCGCTCCAAATTGGAATCAACCAGATGGCAGCGAGGTTTGGGGGCCCTTCAGGAAAATATGGTTAAGATGCTCAGGGGCTACCTCTGAAAGGCAGGTAGGTTGAGTCCACTCAGAAATGCCTCAGAAAAAGGCCCAGTAATCCACTTCCTAAATAAATAAATAGAAGCGGCCACTGAAAAGCCTATGAAGCCCAGTTCCACTCTGACACACACGGGGTTGCCTGGATCAGAACCGATGGAGCCACGGAAAGATCTTTTAGCAAGCCTGCCAAACCCAGAGCAGCATCAATCTTTGGACACATCTAAAGATGTCCAATTCCGTCCTGGAAGAACTGCAACCAGAATGTTCCTTAGAATTGAGGAGG